GTTTTGTTCTAAGATTTTATGGACCTCTTTGTAGTTCTCTCACATTTTGGGTGCTCTGTAGTGATAGTGTTGACAATGATAATAATTGTAATGATGATAATAGTTATAGTAATATCAATGATAATAATGTTGGCCACAATGATATGAATAATAATAACAGTTTTAGGAAGTATGGTCTATCATACCCAGAACCTTCGTGAAAAAATTATTTAAGTTAACGTATTATTATTATCATGTGGTTTGAGGTTGGTATAATGATTACGTAAAATTTAAAATAGCTTGTCGATCATTTTAAGTCGTATTTTGTTTTTTTCCAGTTCAAACAGTTTCAAGTACAGTTGCCACTTCATCCCAAACAACTCCCGCAGGTAAATGTTTTTTTATAGACGTTCTTTTGACCACCGTGTAAAACTATGTTATCATAATAGCACGGAGTGAGTTCGAGTAAAAGACAAAGAGTGAATTAAGTCACTAAAAGTCTGAAACTTAGCGAAGGACTGTAGACTCACAAACAGTCGTAACACAGACTGCTAAATCTATATCAAAATTGAAAAAATTTGTTTGCAAAGTTGTTACTATTCCGTAATTACTTTCTTCTAATACAAACTTATATGATTATGTGAATCTCGTCAGGTGTCGTGCAACGACTCAAAAGATCTTTATGAGTAAAAGGCTATACCTTCTACAATGGAAGGAGTAAGAATAAGCATAATTATAGATGTATTAAAAAAATTCTTTTTATTTCTCTAAAGACTCCTTCCAGTTGTGGTTTAATGAATATTTTGAAGCATATGCTGGCCATCTTCAAACACAATTACTTAATTCATGTGGCGATGCAAAACCTTTTTTCAAGTGGGGTGGGGGAAGGGAAAGGAACCATAGTACTCGTTCAAAAAATATAATTCAATCACTCTTTGGGCCTACTTACATTTGTTACAAGTTTCTGTATCAAATATTAAAACATTGTGAACAAGGCTAATCGTAACATGTTCATGCTACTGCGTGCATTAAAACATAAGTTTAGTCTCGAGCTTAGTAGCATACTCTGTCAGAAAGATCTCTGCTGGGATTTTTGGACAATGTTCAAGTAGAATTATTGTTAGATGGAACCACTTCTCAGCAATTTTTGTGAATCAAGGCTCTTCATAATTTTTGTAAATGTAAAAGGACGCGGCTTTTCTTTAGCTTCAGAAAGCATAGAAGTTTACCTGACAGCGACAATACAGGGGAACTGTAGCAGACGTTCAGAAGTTGCCGCGAAATTTCCAGAAATGGTTAGATAATCTACTTGATCTGTGTACCGGAGTGTATAGAATACTGCCATAAGATTTATCGTTAAAAGGGAATCTTGATCAATCTGCTCTTAAACGAAATCTCGATATTTCTGTAAAAACAAAACGACATTTTGAACGATCTTCAATTTACGAAACAAGTAATCGAATTTACATTTCTTCTCTAAATGTCCTTATAGGCTTGTCAAATTGCCTTTAAGTTTGGCTGCTCATCCGCCAACACTGTGAACACCAGGTAAGGTGCAGTTTGTCTCAACACTGAAACAACAAACGCTAACGCAAATCTGTGTTCTGGGGCGGAGAGGAGCTGTATCTCAGTTGGCGTATTTAAGTCTTAAAACTGGTGTTTTTGCTCTAAAAAAATCTTATCTAATGCAAAATAAACTACATTTCAAGTACATGTTACTTGGTGTACAGCAATAGATTGACACAGAATGACATGAATTAATTTTATTTACCTCGGTTTATTATATCACAAATACTCTTTTGGTTAAATTTCAATGTATTTTAACACTTAAAAGTCACCAAACTACAAATAGAATGCCGAATAGAGAACCATGCCCCAAAGAACACGATGCATAAATTATGACTGATTATGCAATTGAAGCCGTATGGTTACTCAGTTTTTGTCACGCAAGGTACGCCTTCGTCGAATTGCTCTCACTGCAAACGCTGTCCTTTCGGTAACATACTTTGTTTGGT